TAACAGAAAGAAATTACGAGATTTATGACAAGGAGCTGCTGGCAATAATGCTTGCTCTGGAGGAATGGCAACATTATCTCATTGGTGCCTCCGAAATCTTTGAGATCTAGACAGACCACCAGAATCTCAGATATTTTCGTCAACCTCAGAAGTTAAATCGACAACAGGCTCGATGGGTTACTGAACTCATCCAATATCAGTATACCCTTCATCACAAGGCCAGGGTAGCAAACAAAAAGGCTGACCTCCTATCCTGACAAGCCGACCATGACCAAGGAGGAGAGGACAACACAGGAATTATGATTCTATGCCCCGAGCACTTCCACGTAATGATCATGCTGACAGAAGAGGAAATCCATGAACAGATCAAAAGCATGACTCAAGACACCCACAAATGGGACCAAAGGATCGCCCCCTCACTAAATCACGAACAGGAAATGACAAGGGAGAAAGGGTTGATCTACTATGACAGAAGAATCTATATTCCACAGGATCACCATCTACATGGAGAAATAATTGCCATGAGCCATGACCACACCACTGTGGGACATCCAGGCATTGCCAAAACCAAGGAGCTTGTATTACGAAACTACTGGTGGCCCAAACTAGGAAATGACATCATAGCATACATCAAAGCATGTGAAACATGCCAAAGGGGGAAGGCTTTAACGCAGCCATGAGCAGCCCCTCTACATCTGAATGAGGTACCATCATGCCCATGGACCCACATCTCTGTCAACATGATTACTGGTCTATCCGACTGTAATGGCTATGATGCAATCCTCGTCATAGTTGATCGATTCTCAAAAGCCATCATCTTGATCACATGCTCCACAGAGTTAACCTCGGAGGGCTGGGCCAAAATCCTATGGGATAAAGTGTATGCCAAGTACGGGATGCCTCAAGTCATCATCTCTGATCGGGGACCCCAGTTTGTCTTAAAGTTTCTTGACGACTTGTATAAACTACTCAACATCAAGCGGAATGCATCCATGGCCTATCACCCACAGACCGATGGTCAAACTGAGCATGCAAACCAGGAGGTTGAAAAATACCTCTGACTATTCATTAATTATCAACAGGATGACTGGGTCGAATGGCTGGCATTAGCCACTTTCCAACACAATAACTGAGTACACTCAGCTATAGGGTGGACACCATTCTTCGTCAATTATGGGTGACACCCTCATGTTGCCCAAACCACACATCACAAAACCATGACACCTGCCTCAGAAGATTTTGCCACACAAATGGCAAAAATTCATACCGAAACAAAGAATGCCCTTGAAAAGGCCACATCGGCGATGAAAAAACAATATGACAAACACTATCAACTAGCACACACATACAACATCAATGACAAAGTATGGCTGGATACAACAAACCTTCATTTACCTTGACCAAAATGAAAACTGGCCAACAAACAAACTGGCCCCTTCTCAATTATCACAAAAGTCGGGGAAAGCACTTACAAACTCCATCTGCCTGTTGGATGGAAGGTCCATAACATGTTCAACAAAACACTCCTACACCCATACATCATCCCGGCCTTCCCAAGTCAGGAACGCCCACCACCACCACCGCCAGACCTAATCGATGATGAAGAACATTATGAGATCGACTAAGTCCTCAATCATAAACTCCAAAAAGTTAAAGCACGAGGTGGTGGTATGATGACAATGGTGGATTACCTCATCAGCTGGAAGGGTTACAGCCCAGAGTCCAATCAATGGATTAACGAAAAACAAATGTCAGTGGATGAAGCCATACACAAATACAAATTATTCCTTAATTAAGCCATCAGGACGATGGTTTTAAGGAGGGGGTAATGTTATGATTTTTTCCTATTTATTGTCTTTCACCTCTATTTATACTTAGTCAGAAGGCACTAGACTATGAGAGGGCTTAGTCAGCACAACTAGGCCATCCATCAATCATCTCGACAATCAAGCCCAATGACGATATAAACACTCCTTTTATGTATGGTAACAATACTCAAGGGCAACAAGTACTATGGACACAGACCAACACAATTAGTAGTGATATTATTAGATTCCTCTGTATAGTATTTAAGACCGACAGCTCTCACTGGTATACCCCAGCTTCGAGCTAAAGTTTATATTCATACCATTCTACTCTCGAGCCATTCTGTGGCCTTGTGACACAATGAGCTGAAGACACATATAAGTGGATTCAGGTGATCCCTCAAAGTGCAAAGGGATGTCTGTCTATCACGTGTCCCAGATCACATGATGCTTGGGCTTAACACTTTTTCTCTAGATGTCTTTCCACATGCTTGGTGAAAGTGGTTGAAAACATTAAATGTCTTTCTAACCAGTAGGACTGACAAAGTCTCAGTATCAGGAGATTATTCCTGCTCCACAACAAGTCCTGCTCCAAGATATCAAAAATAGATCTCAATATTTTCTAATGGCTATCACTTAATGTTCAACCACACTCAAATATTCACTCAGTGTGAAAAAATAAGTTGTTAAGGAGCCACTGCATCTGGATTCATTAAGCCAGCCTCATCACAAGGTGATTACTCAGAATGCCTAACTTTGCCTATGCTCAAACATATAACAGAAAAATGCACAAAGCCACAAATATTCAACAACAATTGCAAACCAAAGATAGTCATGCATTTTCATTAGCTTCAGAGATGGATACAAAGTTGTCAGTGTACTGGATATTACTCATGATTTACAGATGGATGATATAATCACTGCCTCAGAGGAGATCTGTGGCCAGCCACTAGCATCACAACATGACTCCTATTTTCATACTCAGCCTTGAGAAGATGTTTTCAGATGCAATCCTTTGACAAAGGTTGTATCAGACTTTCAGAAGTAGCTTACTGAGCTGAACTTAGATCTGCATGAAAAAAGCTGTTTCAAATGGATTAGATGTTTCAGAGGTCAGTCTGGAAGAACTGTTGTCTTATGAGGGTTAGAAGGCCTTACTGTTTCAAACCACCATCACTCTGAGAGTCTCCTCTGATCAGCATCCTCATTGTGAGTACTTAAGTGCTTGTTCTCAAATCATATCTACTCAAATATTTGATATAGCATGATTACTCAGACAAGATGAATGAAGTGAGAGCTCAAGGCAGTGTTAACATTGACTACACTCGCCAATAGACTCCTATCCAAGATATTTGACCATGTCAATAAGAGGGACTTACTAGTTCTTGCATGCCTTTCTTGTAGACTGAATGCTATAGCAATCCATCACTTGCTTAGTCCATGGCATGAAATCTGAAAGAAGTACAGCACATTTAGGGTGTTTCCCACTAGTGCTTCTAATGACTTCTCTGGCCTACACTACCTTAGGCTTTCCACAGAAAAACCATACATCTGATCAATGACTCTGATGTTCACCTTCTGTTTCATAGCAGACCTTGCTGATGTCCTACAATATCACAGGAGTATCCTCTGAAAACAGCATCCTAGTCTGCACATCAACTTCCCATCCTGTACTGAGCTATATATTGCATGGACTAGCATGCATAGTGAGGACTGAGCAAGATGCTTTCACACATTCTGTGAACAGTTTGTCAGGTTATGATGTGTGTCCTTCAAGTACAGCACTGACTGGGAATCTCCCACCTTATTCAACCTACCACCATTCACCACTCTCACTTCCATGAACATCTCTCAGAGATCTGCATCCTTCATTGACTAGCTTGTCTGCTCAGCTTATATATCACTCCTTGAATTATTGACACTAGAACATAACTATGATTTCAAGAAACCAGGGAATGATGTCATTGTGCTACACTTCTCTCATCTTAAACAAGTAACATTTAGCTCATGCTTGTTTACAGCAGAGAAGTTATCTTTGTTTCTCTCTTGTTATACATCAATAACAGATTTGACATTCTTCTGTGGTGAAGTCTACTCACTGTCTTCATATTTACATGCTGCTCACTTACAACTTCCACATCTGCATACTATCACTATGGGCATCCAAAATTTGAAGAATATGCTGCCCTCTATGAGGCCAAAGTCCCTCCCCAGCCTAAAATCAGTCATGATACTTGGCTGCCAGCTGTGTATTTGTGCTAAGAAATTTTGCCAGGCAATGACACTTAAACAACTGGATATTTATCATGTTCTATATTGGATATCATGATTACCAAATGTGTCCTGTGTGCAGCTCCCATTTGAATATGAATGAGAAACCATTTCAAGACTCACTTTACCAGGCATTATGAAAATGGTGCAATGCAAGATTCAGTGACTTTGAACTTGGAGAGGATCACACTGATTTCAGTGCTGTTTCCAAATGTGAGGGAGTTCAAGGTGATGCAGGTATTGGTGGAGGATAACAGAACATTGATGAGAGAGATAAATGAGTGCTGGCCAGGGCTATGATGCATGACAATTACTACAAAATGAACAGATACTTCAGGACAATTCTAGTTACCTATGGCACAATTTTTTGAATTACTTTTTCTAACCATGTTTTTTAAAGGCTTAATTTATGGTATTCACTGGTCTTTTGTGAGCGGTGCACTCTACTGTGTCTGCCCTCAATGCTGTATCTAGCAGGGTGATCCTTGCTGCCGGACCCATGATGAAAGGCTAACATTGTGTGATTGAGTTACAATCACTTAAAAATATTTCTCACTGGAAATACGAAACGTGTTCCCTGAATTTCTGGGCTAGATTGCGCCAACAATAGCTTCACTGACTACCGTCATGACGAAGAAAATTGCACTGCATCAGATCATGGATAGTTCTAATTCTGAGAGTGATGATGACTCCTAGACGGAGAGAACTTGAAATAAAGGTTAAGCCCCTAGAAAGATGCTCTAATATGATAGCGTACCATAAAGGCAAGCCTATGTGACAAGGCCAGCAAGTTCTACCACATCACTTTGCATGGGTATGATTAAAGACTGAATAAAGGATGCACGGCGAGTATGAAGAGACCCCTCTGATCAATTGGCTCAAATTTGTTATTGATATTGATTTAAAAAAAGTAGTGACGTAGGATCAGATAGTCCTTTCGAGTGTCACGACATCGGAATAGTGTTCGAGATGGACATGAGAAATATTGAACTCGCGAATCCCAGCCTTGAGGTACTTGGTGCTAACGAGAAACTCCATGAGGTTGAGGATCCAAGGAGAAGCAAAGGGAGAATCCTACGAAACGAGTTAGAAAGCAAAAAAGATATGGGTTCATGTGACATACATAGCATTCGGTGAAGACATGAATGTCAACCGACCCCCGCAGAAGATCTCAGAGGAACAGTCGTCGATAGTACTCTCATTATAAGAACAGTGTTCTAGTGGACTCTTGGTGATCCAGTCAGCGCACCTGTCACGTACAAGAGGACTTGAGCTTCAGCTGAGTGCGAAGGCCCGCGACAAATTGCAGTAGGTATGGATACAAGATGCTGAGATCATCAAATCACCATCGGTAAGTCCCAGGTAAACGCATATCAGCGGATATAAGCAAATTTGCGGAAATGCAGGTCTATACAACGTCAGAAATGCAGCATAAGTAGGAAACTACAAGTATGCTTCTCTTGTCAAAACTCTCTACTTCATCTCTCATCAACACTACGAATGGCATTTATCCAAATTGACGAGCTCAGAGAGTCCACCACCATCACGGTGCTCACCGTTGGCAACAGCATCCTCTATTACCTCATCATTGCTACCAAACTGGTCATTTTCTGCTCACTAATTAAGAACTGTAGACGTCGAGGAATCCAGAAGCAACAAAATCGAGCCTAGTACTCTGTCAATCGTACTTTTAGTTCTTCTTGGTCTTTTTTTCTGTAGAGCGTTACACTATGTGCATGGCGGAGGGCAACCAACTATGCTGGTCCCATGTTCTTCTTGGTCTTAAAAGTGAGTTTGGAATGCTGTTCTCATTCTGAAAAGAAATAAAAAAAGAAGTTTTGTAGATATGCCTCGGTATTCAAACTGTGGTTCCCTTGGTCGACTACAATATATGCGCGTGAGGCACGAGCATGAACGGCGATCCTTCACTAAGCCAGCTGGGGGCATGACGACGACTTCACAAGCTTCTACATGCTCCAGTCTACCTCATATTTAAAAGATTAGTGAAGGAGGGCAGAAACAGCACCAAAGAATCGAACCAGGTTCAGCGGACTCAGTGTTCCAGTGACTTGCACCACGATGCCGTTGGTTTCACCTGTCGACTCCGAGCTGGTATCTCGCCATTGTCTCCATCGCTCTTAGCAACTACTTTGCTGTAGAGGACCCAGGAGATCAACAAGAGGAAGATACGCTCAACGCGAACTGGCGGCTCCTGATGCCGATAAGTACAAGCACCCTGACAATGTCATCGCTATCAAGCACGTTCCCAACCAGCGCTGTTGGAGATTCAAAGGCGGCCATCGAAAAGTTTTGCTAAATGCTGTTTCTATAGGCATTCAATTCATTCCTCGAAGCTTTGGAGGGCAGCAGCGACCTGTTTCTCAACACCAAGATTTAGGATTCAACATCAGTAGATGATTTATCATCCGTCCATTTAACTGGCCCCGGTTGACCAAAATTGTCCCCATTTCTGCGCAGTGTGGCTTTATGCATATACAATGAATAAATCGATATTGCATCACGACGAGATCCCTCAACACATTTTACATCCAAATTCAAGATCGAACTTTAGAAATTTAGATACGTCGGGCATAACACAGCGATCGAATGCCGCAAAAATGCACTCCCTAGACTGCACTGTTCGAGGAAAACAACTAACTCCCACAAACAAGGCTACCACCAGGGTTCGAACCCGGAATTCTTAGTGGACACATAAGCCACACAGCGACACTTAAGACAAAGTATATGAAAGGAACAACCGTATTTTATTGTAAGCTCAGGTAAAGATCTCATTCGTGTCCATATCCCAAGTAAGTCGGAAGCAGCAACGAGACTCGGAGTTGTAACGAAAAGAGAACTTCCAAACGAGAAATCTGCATGCTGTCGTTTTGGCATTCGACAGTGGTACCACGCCGGAGCTGTTGAGATGGAGCTAGGGTACACATTTAGTGGCCTTTCCGTCAGTTGCAAAGAAGGGCATAATCAGAATAAGGACAAAAAGGTGCAGTACAACTTCGGACGGTCAGTCTTCCCCGGCATTCTTGCTCCTCATTACAGGGGTATTCGTGTCAACGGGGACGCTCTGTCAGATACATTGTCTTGCAAGGTCGATGCTTACCTCTCCTTGCGAGGAAAATGGAAAAAGTACGATCCTCCGCCACAGCGCGACACTGGTAAGGGCAGTCGTAGCCTCGATGGCATACAAGGACGTCACTCCGAGGAAGACCTGTTGGGCGCGCGAAAGAAGCGACCAGTGCAATGCAGGAGAGCACAATGCACTTACTACGACTTGCGCGCCGATTGTTGGTGAGGCCGGCTTAACGGATACTGACGCAGCCCTGCGACGACCTATTTATCCGCGCCGAGACAATCTTTGGGTGTGCTTGAACATTAATGGATGACATTTAGATAACATCGAGAGGCACTTTTGGTACCTTTTTTTTTGGAGCAGGATTTGTTGCGACGCGGAAATAACCTCCCGGTACCGAGGATTTGCCAGTCCTACCTGTTAGAAAGGGGTTCAACTTCGTCATCCACTTTTGCCGAGCATGTGGAAAGACATCTAGAGGAAGAGCAATGCGCGCGCTTCTTCGTCGACGGTACGATTGACTTTCTCTCAGAACCATCCATTCCGCTGGCCGACAGCACTGCTGAAATTGAAAGGTACGTGCTGTAATAAGGAGGAGGCTTTTTCGAGATGTTGGAGGGCGTTTCTGGCATCAATAAGGGACATCATTATTTTATCTACGTGGCGTTGAAGCTTGACATCGAGACCCCATTCCCAAGCAAAGTGCTGAAGGGCGTTCCTTGCAAATTCGACAGATGGAATAGCGTGCATAATAATCCCACTGCATGCCTTGCCAAGGATCGATGTTAACATCCATATTGTCACAAGTATCATGACATCATTCTGGTGTGACTGCGCCCACAAGGTCAGAGGAACCATGTTATACCGACCTGATATCTCTTGTGATGCGTCCGCAGCACGAGAATAGGTGTCATGGAGGGTCGATGGAATGTATTGGACGATCAGAAGCAAGGATTGGCTGACAGAATTACGAGCACCGCCAAAGCAATGAGGATATCAGGCACTGAAATGATCAAATTAGCGAGCAAAAGAGAATCAGGAGATAAGAATCAACGAGATGATAACTTGCAGCCTAGTCCGAAATCAACAGTTCTGGATATCATAATGGATGTTTTCTCGACAATGACTTCGATCCCGCCAGGGCCTTGGAGCAGTGATTCGGCAAGTCCTGATGATGGTGGTGGTGGTCAAGCAATATCTGACGGATTTCATAACTTGGAGCTTACCTCGACTGAAACGAACTACCGTTTGGTATATGATGGTCCGCTTTCTTGTAGTTTCCGGGGGCTGCGTTGGCAGCTTCCCATGCTACTCTTGCGGCTTCCAACCTTGGTATGTAGCTCAACTGCATTACTCATTACATGTAACGCACTGCCCCTTGCATCTGGTTGTCTAGCTCCTGCATCTGGCGCTCAAAAGTCTTCTCGTCTGTCGTTGACAAGTCCGATGCTGTTTCAAACTCGTCACTGGAGGCCGTCGAAGGTTCGGAAGGGCGTTGGTCACGAAACAGGAATAGAACGGACTTGAATTTCCTCTTTTGACACACGGTTTTGCGTCATGGCTGATGTTATCAGTAGCACCTTCTCTCTACGTTCACTCCGCTCACTCATCGACGGATAGCAATGACGACGCCTACGCCCAAGAGAAAGCATCTCGAGATCATCCAGGTTCTCATCAGTCACCCCAACTACTACGGTATTCGAATCCGCCAGCACGTTGTGGATGAGACCTGTATCACGGAACGGATGTTGGATATCTTCAGTACTGAGAGAGGGACTGGAGCCGAAAGGGCAGATCCGCTTGGGATATCGGTCGGGTACACCAAAGAAGGAAGGCTCGCCGCGTTGGCAGTTGCAGACAAAGAACGATGTTGCATTATCGAGTTTGCAAGTCTTCCACCACCTAACAGACAACAGAAGATGGAAATCTTGCAGAAACACGTACTCTGTCGTTCCATTGGCGAGCTCTATGCATTTGATGCTGCCAAGCTTGCGATGGTCCTGTGGTCAGAGCTCGGTGTGAAGGTCACGCGTGCCATCGACATCCAGTCCGTCTTCACTGATACCGACTTCCCATCCGATCGCAAGCCTCTGTCTGCCATCCAGGCTTGTTTCGGTGACTCGGATAACTGCAAGCTGAACGAGAAGAACATCGATCAAATCTTCAATGATCTCACATACAATTTTGAAGAGATCAGCCAGATGCGCACGGACATTCTTGGAAGAGCTTGGATTTCATGCATACTTCCATCGCATGAAAACGGGATATCCACTTTCAGTACCGCAAAGCCCATCAATACCAGTGAGCTGAGTGGACAAGTGGGTGGCATCATGCCAGGTCTTCCATGCTGAACTGACAAATTCATTTACCTTTCTAGCTCCTGGATACACTGAATGTCTTAGCTCGCGTCTCAGAAGACTCCCGTCGTGTCAGCCACTTGATGCCCACGGAGACAGATCATCAATTCTCTGATGCTCGAGCCTCAGCTGCCTCTATCGATGGAACATCCATTGATGCTCATGCCTCAGCATACAAGACCCGATTTCACAAGTCTCAGGTATGCAATGAGATGGTTTCTACTAATTCTAGGCCTGACAATTCTTGTTATAGAATGTAATCACCACGTTTCAACTTGAATCAGGCGAGCAGATACAGCGCCGTGGACAGATCAGCTCTGTCGATGGAAAGTCAGCTACAGTCAACTTTGACACATCTGTTATGAGTGACAACAAGAATGTCATCTCTATCATCAGTACAGATCGTGATCTGCCAACTTCAGCTGAAGGAAAACGTGATGGTTTTATCAGGCATATCTTACAGGGGGATCTTACCATCTTCAAAGACAACCCATGGATCTGCAATATACTGCTCTATCATGATACTATTGATAATGGTGCAGATCAATCCTCTCTTGAATGGCCTGGTAGTTGGTTTCCTTCCTCTCAACCAGATACTCAGATATCCACAGCCAGGCCATTATCTGATTGCAACCCTGCCTCTCACCATCTCAATGAATCCCAGCAACAAGCTCTTGATCATATGCTTTCTTCATATCCTATTACTCTCATCCAAGGTCCACCTGGTACAGGCAAAACCTCAGTCATAGCTACATTTGTTCACCATGCTCTGGCTGAAGGAAAGTCTGGTATCTGGTTGATTGCACAATCAAATGTTGCTGTAAAGAATATTGCAGAGAAACTATTGCAGACTAATTTTACGGATTGGAAACTTTTGGTCTCTGAAGATTTTCATAATGACTGGTAATTTACTTCTCTTTCTGATTGTATCTACATCTTATTAAATGTTTATAGGCATGATAATCTTTATACTAAGATTCAGCAACATATTATTCTCTCTACACAGTTCTGGAGGCTATCTGCAAAAAAACTACATGGATCTAGAGTCTTTCTTTGCACTCTCAGTATGCTTTCAAATCCACATATCTCCAGATTTACAGAAGTTGTTGCATTGAGATGTGCAGTGGTTGATGAAGCTAGTCAGATCAAAATAGCTGACTATCTCAATATCTTTATAGGATTTTCCTCCTTACGGAAGATATGCTTCATTGGAGATGATAAACAGTGTAAGTATTTTTTCTGGATTTTGCCTATTTTGCTTATTTGCTGCAGTACCACCATTTGGGACAGACAATGTTAACAATCTCAGAAGCATATTTGAGATAGATCATTTACGTGAAAATGCATTTTTACTCAATATCCAATGTATGTTTGTTTTGATTTTTAGACTGATTATTGACTTTCTCTTATAGATCGCATGCCTCCACAGTTAGGAGATTTTATATCTCAAGCAGTTTATAACAATGAGTTGAAGTCAAATCCGCTACATCCAATTCAAAATGACATTATTGCTTGTCATTTTGTTGATGTAATTGATGGTCAAGAACGACGGAGCACATCTCAGTCATTTACAGTAAGTTTATTTTATTTAAAATGATATATATTCATTTAATGCTATATAATTTAGAATGATGCTGAAGCAGCTGTTGCAATACAGCTTGCTCATTATCTTCAAGAACAACAGATGTCATATAAGATAATTACACCATATGACAGTCAAAGAAACAAGATTCAAAAGGATATGTCAAAAGTAGATGGACTTGATTGGTATGATAAATGTTTCAATGTTGATTCATTTCAAGGTTGAAATCTTCTATTCATACTAAAGCTATTCTAATATTTGCCTTTAGGAAATGAAGAAGATTACATTATCATCTCTCTTGTTCGATCTCGTTCAATTGGATTTCTCAAGAGCATGAGACGTACCAATGTAATGCTCACCCGATGCAAGAAAGGAATGTATATACTTACTAGTCGCTCTTTTATTGATGGGGCTGGTGGAGATTCCTTGGCTGGAGAGTTAGCCAATCATATTGGAAAGAAGGCATGGCTGACTGTAGAGGATGTAATCCAAGGCAGGATTTAGGCAAAATAGCTATCCATTATAGAGGATGTTACCTCTAGTTTATCATTGGTATTTCAAAAACTTTATGTATTCATTCAAAAAATGAAGTTACTGAAATATCAGTGATAAACTATAGATTTCATTGCTCTATCTTGATCTATACATCAAATAAGACAATTATAAATGAGTCCTAGCAACATTTTCTGAATGTATATCTAAACAAAAGATATTCTGCATACTTCTAAGAACATCAGCAAGAGTAGATATAAAAGCAGATGTAGATGTAAAAGAATTAGAAAATTTGGATTCAATCCCAAACTTTATCATACTAGATCCAGCAAGATCTACATCCAGATGTGAATATGCTTTATCTGCAGAGATGTGTTATAAGCACTTACAGTTTATACCATAACCATCCTCATATATTGCACCAAATCTGATTGAGAGTCAAAGAGGAAGAGAAGTGGAATAACCAAGCAACATACCCTGTACCCCGAAAGAGGTGACCAGCACTAAGCCCACTTGTACATAGCTTCCAGCATGAACTCTGTCCAAATAATGGATCCTCAAAGAGTGGTGTATGTTCTCGAAGCTCTGGGCATAGCATCTGCCGTAGACCCATAAGATGGCGATCAATCCCTTTGCCTGTTGCAGCTTCGCGGGTTAATCTGGTATGTACTTTGATAGCTGACTCAAGTGCAGCGCGTTTGGATTCTGCCTGCAAGAAACTCAGCTACACCAGCACATGTGTATCTGGCATATATACCGTTACACGACCATCAACCATCGCCAAGCAGAATGCACGACTCTCTCGGGTCAGCGTCCGGATAGTTTCTGTGCGTCCTTTGTCGAACATCCGTGTCAGCGCAGTCTCATACGTCGCGGTGAATTGTCCCCGCATCTTGTACCATGTCACCTGCAGCGCCATCTGTATGAACGCGTCAGGAGCCAATTTCGCTGGCATCTCATCAGTACGCAAGAAAATAACACAATGAAAGATGCTCAAGTACCGGCTCCCTTGATCCAGTCTACCCCATAATCCGAGAACCAGAAAACACTATCATCCGAGTCCTCAATGATCCTCTCGGCACGTTTCTTCGCCATACCACACTCTTCCTTGATGAAGTCGTCGACAACCCAGTCTAGCCGGTCCCACCTCTGGCCTCGTGATGGAAGAGAGGAATCATTCTCGAAATGAGATTCATTGATACCTTGGATAATTCCATACTCGGCGACAATGCTTGGAACTAACGCGTCGCATGGAGAGTGCTCGCCCACGGCGCCAGAACGCGCTGCGGGGTCAACGACGAGGGTGAAAGCTTTATCAAACCATCTGTTACCAACGTTGCTTGCTGTCGAACGAATGACATGGAGGTGGGAGTTGAAAGAATATTCTTTCGTTGATGGGTTCGGTGATGTAGGGTCTTCATAAATTTCGTTGTCAAGGCTCAGTACCATGAGCGAATTCGACAGTGTTGTGTGTACCATTTTGTTGGACTCAGAAAGAGCAAGAAGATGTTCGAAGTTCTAGGGCCAGCTATCAGAAAAGAATCCGCACAGTTCAAGGACGAATACGCACTTCTGACCATTTGTCACGATCATCCGCACTCAAAAGTCCGATGGAAACCGGTTCTTCGCCATCGATCAGTCGCTGTTCAGCATCCGAAACAACAGCCTCTAGGTATCGCGCCAAATGGCCAACGTCCATCGAAACGGAAGGCGACTCCATGACAGAAACTCTGTAGAACCATCCATGTACCATAACTACGATGTTATAGGCGAATGGATCCGTCGGTAGAGGTACAGGTGATAAGACGTCGCAAGAATGCTTCGGTATCCGCGCAACGTTAAACATTTTTGATGTGCTTTCTCTTAGCCAGATACCTAGACCACTTCAGATTCCAAGGACACGACAGATATCCACAAAGCACACCTGTCCGCGTAGTATCCGGGTATAACTCCTGCCTGAACTTCCTAAGCGAAAGTCGAGCTGGACCAATTAGAGGGTACGCACGTTTCAAGTTTGATTTTGAACTCCAATATTCGATGAAGCAACCAAGCCGCTCTCTTAATCTGCCATCTGGAGAACCCAGTCTTGAAGTGGCCATCTTGTCGTTCCTTCTCCGATACAGGAATGTTCGCATCGTCCTCGAAAGCAAGCCACCAATTAGAATTGATGAGCAACGGAGCTCTCCATTCCATATACGCGTTGTTCATCCAAAAATTGTCATCCAGCCAGTTGTTCGGAGATGCTCTGTCAAGTTCTCCAGACAAAATAAGAATGCGAGCGCATTTCAAAAGGAAGGAGACAAACGCACCCAGCAGTCTATCCTGACAGAGTTTTCCTACACCTGATGCAAATTCATCAGCCCACTGAGCACGAAGTCGACGAGACACATCGAGAGCATCATCATCCAGCCCTTTCTTGGAGGCATCTTCTAGCAAAAAGGGCTCTAAGGATGTTAGGTATTTGTCTAGCGTTTTACGGAGAGCAGGGACTGGTAGACGCAGCAGCGTAGGTGTCGTAGTGGTCATTTTTGGAGAGTATCGTCGAATATGGAGTGCAGACCGTGTAGGTAGCATCATTAAGGTCCTTGACGGAGAAACGAGGATTTCTACGGCGAATGAGAGCAAATCATGACTGTACGACGTTGTTGGAGAGAGGAGGAAGCCGTTATCGGATCGCATCGGCCCGAATGGTGCTCCTGCAACGTCCCTCAGTCCTCTGCCTCTTCATTTCACCTGCCGATGTCGCTCGAGCACAGACAAAAGGACCCCCAAAAATGTTTTCCCGGCATATAATCCCGAGTTGAACTTGTCGTAGAGGTGCAGCAGGCAGACGCGTCTCACAGATACGTGCCAAAGAACGACAACACTTGCTCACTAAGGACTACAAGTCTGCTGTCCGTCTCCCACTGCATCCTTTTATGGTGAGTCCCACTGTTTGGACGTCGCTCAGCTGCTCAAGCAACAACCTAAGTATATCAAGTGCAGATGCACCTCCCACATATTACACATCAGATCCAATCGAGTGATCCGCGAACGCAAAGACGCAAAGGTGGGAGGAGCACAACATTATAAGCGCATTCTATGTAGACGAAGAGATCACTATGATTGATGAAAAAAGAGAAGTCGCTAGCAACTTTTCTGTTTCTTGATCAGAGCAGGTGACAATTCAGCACTTACAAACCGATGTGTATTGGCTTTAAATCCAAAAATCCGAAAAATGTTCGATACGGACAATGCAGGAGAAAGACAGTACAATACTTATCTCACCATTTCCAAGCATGCTTTGACTTCTTCGGAGTCAATTCAACAAGCTTCACCTCGCGTTCTCTCTCGTCCACGCCAAACATAGTCCTCAAGCCATCGATCTCCTGTGACTTTGCTTGCATGCGCTCAGTAGCTTCACGAGCGTTGTTTCTGCTGATGTCAAGAGTCTCCGCCTCTGCCTGGAGCTGGGCCTGCGCCGTCTCGTACTTGGTGCGCGCCGCAAGGAAGGTGGCTTCGTTCTTCTGGAGAGTGGCAAGGGCTCGAGCATGGGCAGTGTGGGCTTGTGACTCGCGCCGTCGACGGAAGAATGACTTATCGTCAATAGAGCATAGTGCACGATACTACCTTTATGGCTGCTTTCTGTAAGCTCTGGAGCTCGGACAACTCTTGAATAGCCACTGCCAAAGCTTGCTTTTCGACCTTGCCTTCGGTTTTGATGACCTTGGAGAGACGTTCGTTGTCTTTTGCTGCAAAAGGCGATGTGAGTGCGCAGTCGTCTAGTAGATAATAAATGCACCTTCTGTCTTCTGGATTTTAGACAACTGCTTTGCAGACAACGATGCGTCGGCAGAGGCCGCTCTGTTGTGGAGGCTTTCGTCTGCTTCGGCTTTGGCATTTGGGCCAGTTGTTGCGGCACCGCCAATAAAGGTAGAACCGACTATAGGATTTCCATCGGGGTTGGTGAACACGCTCCGCTTGGAGACTGAGGCAGAGCGATATATTGAAGCTCCCCGATTTAGCGAGTCCTTGGGAATGAACGACGTGGAAGAGTGGATGGACGGTGCATTCTCTGCTTTGCGCAAGATGGGACCGGTATGAGTAGACGAGACGGATTGTTCGAGTAAATCTGCAGCTGGAAGCCAACCTTCTGAACCGTTCGGATGAATCACCTTGCGACCCTTGTCTGGAACCTCAGCATCGCCGCCGTTGTATACGGTAGGGTCGACCGTGAGTGGCTTGTCGAGAATTTGAGGCGGAGTGGACATGGGGGTGAGCGGTGCGTCAAAGTAGATGGACGAGGTTTCGCTGGAATGTGCAGGCATGTAAGAGAACGATGTGGAATAGTGATGTCATATTACATTTACAACTTTCCTCTACAAGATCTTGGCAATCTCAGCATCAATACTCTCCGGAGTCGTCGTCGACGCCCACCGATGCACGACCTTGCCCTCCTTGTTGACGAGGAATTTTTCAAAGTTCCACTGTCCCATCATGAGAAGATCACCAGTAACCTAGAGTCAAAACTCCCACCTTGATCCTGGTAAGCCCCAAAAGACCAGCCTTTTCATTCTTCAGCCACTTGTACACCTCATTGGTATTGTCGCCATTCACATCCGATTTCTTCATCAGGGGGAAAGTGACACCGTGGTTCCTGGAGCAGAATTCACCAATGGCTTCGTCGTCTTTAGGCTCCTGCCCACCAAACTTTTGAGAAACGTCAACTGCGTGAATCTCCCTCGTAAACTCGATGGAGCGCATACCTGATTGCATGGGAAACCAAGGATGACAAAGTCGCGGTCCTTGTACTTGTCATACAACCCTTGAAGACCTACAGGAACATTAGATCTGGTTTCTTTTGTAACGGACTAAAGAAACCGCACCTGTGTATTGGGGGGTAAATCCACTATGCACGGTTTGTGAACAACGAGAACAAGTATCCAATCTTGGGATAAATACCATTTTGATGCCGTATTGACGATCAGGATAGTCTTTCCTTGCAGCTCCGCAAAGTCATACGTTTTGTTACCAGGCAGCGTCGCCTTGAGCGAGTAGAAGCCAGATTCAGTAGACAGGTATCGAGTTGGGTAGGTGAAGAGAGATGATACTGGTGCAAGTCGTGGTAAAGTGCTACGATGATGAGAGCAGGACGATCTCAAAGCAATAAATAGAGTCGGTTTGCTGATGAATCCTCGAGGCGTGATCATAGCTGTGAAATCCTTGAAATTCCCGGTTGTAACAATTGCCGGATCTATGTAATCGGCCCGAACCTAGTCTCCGCCATCCCGGGATCTCTAGTAGGCTATCTGCTCCACGCTCCCAAGCCCTTCAGCGAACAGCCCACGGAACCGCTTCCTACATCGGGAGCCCTTCAGTCTGCCTATATCACCACGAAGCTCCTTTAGAACCCAAGCATACCCTCTCGGCTTGCGTAAGAGAACAGTATAGAATGCATTACAGCCGAGCCTAGTTATGGTTAATGACTGACGTCGCGAATAAGAAACAACTAACCAGTCGACCTCGGCCTTGTTCACGGTAATTTTCGCATCGAGACTCTTGGCCACGTGTGTTCGCGACGTGTTTCGGAACGACGCATAGAAGTACGCGATCATCTGCTTTACGGTACCTGGGGACCGAAATTAGGATGGAATCACGATAGGTAAAATAAAGATACGTACGATAGACCATTTTTCCGCGCTTAGATGAGTCTATACCCCACTCACTAATGTATCCATGCATCTTCATGGCGCTCAAAACAAAGTTCTGATAAACATTCAGATGCACGACACGCTCCGAGTTCAGTTTATGGTCAAAGAAAATAACATGAATGCGTCTTTTGGTCAGTCTGTACCGGACGTGCCAGCTTATGAATATCATACTGGATGGGACATACTGGAGCATCTTATACACAAAAGCAGATCCTGGTCGCCGTATCTTGTTGACCGTTAAAGTATTGCGCAAATCTGAAATATTTTCAGTCTTTGAACGGTTCAAAGAATGCCGTCACGACTTACGGACGTCGTGATATCGGGCATAATCACCAGACACAGACAGATGTTTCATGTTGATTGCATAACCACACCACAGGAAAGCTAGGAAAGTTTGAGAAAAACACGAAGATGGACAGGATGTGCTCGCTTACATTGTTGATGAGGATTAGTCACATTCAAAACGTGATGACCATAGTCAAAGTTCGTCATCGTTTTTTCTTTCGATATGAAGCAACCATACTCCGGGTGGCCTATCCAACATTGAAAAGAAAGAATGACACTTTGACAGAATATGTACCTTCGTTCATCATGCAGAGAAATTCCCTCGCATGGGTCAAGGAAACGGTGATCAACAAATAATCATCAGTTTGTCTAAGCAATACCTATGAGGACCACGTCAACACACGTTCAACCCGCCACCGAGATAAAACATACGCTTTGGGGATCCTCCGTAAACTGCTTAAACCTCTTCTCAAGGTCGCCATAGAAAAACGCACAGAGAATAGAGGAGAGAACCGAACCCTGCGGAATCCCAAACACCTGTCGATAATAGTCCTGTCCAATCTACATCGAGCAACAAGTCACGATACAATTTCAGGGATTATTACTGGAACTGACCTTGACAATATTTTCCGTGATATGTTGCTCAAGCAAGTCCCATATTTCGTGCCGTTTAGACCGAGGGTAAACCACCTACTCTGGTGAAAATCCAGGCTTATAGATACGAGATGAAGTTTTACCTGATCAACAAAAATCGTATGCCGCAAGGCCCCCGCGAGCTGCGTGGCGTACTCAAGAAAATGTGGACGAGCGTCTGAGATAGTTATCAATCCAGGGGAAAAAATCGACGAGTGTGAGTCACCTGCGGGAAGAGCCTCCTTGGCAAACCTACGCTTGATTTTGCCTGCGGTAGAGGACACCTTGCCGTATCTTTGGTACACATAATTTTCCTACATCGCGCGCTGAGACATGATAGTGGTGGTGGTTGCTGCACGCACACCCTGTCTCATGGGATCATTTATTTTTCCAGTCACCATTTCGTCAACGCCCTTTCCAAGGATAACGATGCGCCAATATCAGGTGCAGCAGGCGTCGTTTACTCTTTGCTTGTCACCTCGAGATCCATGATTGATAATATTATATTATTTTTTAAATAATTCAAAATAATTTAGTGTAAAAAACGCCTGCTTTCTCACTATCGGTTACAAAGGGAGAATTAGTCTTAAACAAATCAACAAAAGGTAAACGGAGCATACAAGGACGTAAAAGAAATAAGATTATCTATCTAATCTACGTGGAGCAATTTTATAGCATCTTCAGCGGCGGCAAATTTAACTTCCAGCTTTGTGACGCGGCCTCTGTTAAGGTCAGTTGCCCGTGCTTCCTCCAATGCCTTCACATCCTCTCCCTCCTCCTGATGCAACTCGATCACACAACTGATATTACCCTTCTCTTCCGTAAACTTATACTTCACTTTCTGTCCTCGTCGTGAAGCCCAGACCGATAGTCGCGAAACAGGATGAAGCACATCAACGCTGTCCTTGACGATGCGCTCCAGTATCGGCAAGATACCAATCGTTCGCATAACATCCCGCGTCCTCTCCAGGTTCCCCTCCGAGTCAAGGAATACGGCGCCAAGGAGACTCTCGATCATGTCACTGAAGAATTTGGGTGCCTGCAGACGAGTCAGCGCTGCCCAAGGATAGATCTTCCCATTCTCCAAACCATCAGCAATCGCACCCGAAAGCCTCTGAAACCTGTCAAACGTGACACGCTGATCCTCGAGAACACGAGGACTGGCATGCAACAGGCACTTCCACAGATATATGTCCTCCTCCTCCTCTTCTAGCTGAATCTGACCCCCCGATTCCGTGGGCCGAGGCATATAGCTGCAAACCTTCACAGAACACTTCAAGCATAGGTAGGCCAGAATATGCCCGTTCACGACAGCCGATTTCCGAAGGTGCATATGCCCAGGACTGTACTGCTTGCCTTCTGCACGATATAGATAATCCGTGACCACCATGTCCATGACGGCGTCACCGAGGAATTCCATACGTTCATAAGAGATCGTGCCGAAGTCCTGCTGATGACTCGAGTGTGTGAGGGCTTCGAGAAGGATGAGCTTGTGTCTAAACTCGTAGCCCAGCATGGATTCCACTTGAGACATGACCTTCTCCGGCAATTCGATGCGCTTTCTGACTTCGGGTTCGATTACACTGACCCTTTCAATCAAGGACGAGATGCGCTCCGCAGTTGGTTGCCAGGTAAGGTCTAGACGGAAGAACTTTGCACATTCATAACCTAGTTCGAACCCTCCGTGCAGATACGCAGCGCCAATCGTGGATTCGACAACATCCGCCAATACTGAATAACATGAAGTACAGATTAAAGCATGAAGCTACACGGCACAATGTCCATACCTTTCATGGAGAGCTCTCCCGCAACCTTTTTTGCCCGCTTTTTCTTGGCCTCGTTCTTCGTGGGAACGGTTGTAACGACCTCAGCTACTTTATTCTCGCGGATAGTTGTGTTGGAATGCATATACGCTGGCTTCCACTTCTTGCTAAGCAACCGATCTAAACGTAAACGGGTCAATATGGCAGTCTCATATGGCTTCGAACCAACCTCGGATAATCCATCTGAACATTTCTCTAGATATGTTCTCATTCGCCAGTCTAACGTTCGCAACGGCATGGTCCTTCCGCCTCGACAGGTATCCTTCGTGCCACAGTGGGTGTTGCGATAGAAGCTGTATGCTGACCAGGTACTTCAGCACCGTATCTCCTAGCGTCTCCAAGCGCTGATAATTGTGACGTTCTTGAGACAACGGGGCTGTCATAGCAACAGTCAACAGCTGCGGTGAAATGGCGTAAAGATGAGATGACGGAGTGAACATCCTATCCCGCATGGACTGAACAGTAAGTGACATAGCTAG